GACCTTGGCAAAAGGATCAGTAATAAGTATTGAATTTATTTAAATCTAGAACATATACCAAGTAACTATGGAATTTTGTTTACTGAACAGAATATGATTGTTAAAACCTGGACAATGTAATGATAATAATATAAATAACAAAAATCCAGAGGCAGAGTCACGGAGATGGAAAGATGGAAAGAATTGTGAGAGCTAATCTTTCAAAGCAATGAATTCCACTGTTTCCATTTCTATTATGTATGTGTGTATATTGCTAGCTGCCGTGAAGTTGACTCTAACTCATGGTGACCTTATGTACAACCAAACTAAATGTTTCCCGGTCCTGTGTCATCCTCACAGTCACCAGCATGCTCTAGTCCATCTTTGTGGCTATTGTGCCACCACCCCTGTGTGAGTTTCTCATACTGTGGTGACTTCTGTGTTGCTAGGATGTGAAAGCTATACCATTGATATTTCAAATACTAGTAGGATCACCCTTGGTGGATGGGTTTCAGTGGTGCTTCCAACTAAGACAAACTAGGAAGAAAGGCCTGGCAATCTACTAAAAATTAGCCAATGAAAACCTTATGGATACAGACAGACACACACACATATAAATGAAATGTGTAATTTAAAAAAAAGACTCTAACCTCTTAATGTTTTTCACAATTTTTGTTTAACCTCAGAGAGATCTTTTAGGAAGTAATATGTCTTGCGGTCAAGAAACATTCTTTGAAGTTCAACTATTCCTTTTGATTCACTTCAATTCCTCTTTCTTCTTTTAAACTCAAGTAAAATTAAATCACTTTTATTAAAACTGTACTTTTATTATGGTCTAAATACTTATAAAATATTTCTATTATCTTTCCTCCTGTCTATAAATATGCACTGAAAACTTTCTGGAATGATGTAAACATAATGCACATGATGGTCATTTCTGAGTGATAAGGATCATTTAAACTTTTCTGTATTGTTTCAATTATTTAAAATGTACATATATCATTTTTATAAAATCACATGATTTTTTTTGAGGGGGATAGGCTAAGAAATTATCTGTGGTTGATTCTGAATGGTGGTATGTGTATGATTATTTTCTCATTCTCTTTTATATTTTAATTCTCCAATAAATAAAGTATTAGGAAACAAAAATTCGGACATCTCACTCTAACAGAATACATAGCCCAGATACAGACTTGGCAGACATTGCTGCTGTCTCCCACTATCTGCTTTCCTAACGTTTTATGGAATTTTTAGCTGCACACATGGTGGCCAGAACAAAGACCCTGTTTCCCAGCTCTGGCCAATGGGATAGAACTAGATGTGCCATGTGGCAGTTTCTGGATCACTTGAGAGTGTTTATCCCTGCATTCCCTCCTGTTGCCTGGAATACAGATTATCACCATACCGGACCACGATGAGGTCAAGGCCATTCAAAGCAAAGCAACAAAACAGAAGGTGTATGGGGAGTGTCACATCTGCCCTAGGCTACCTACCTGGCCAATGTGAGAAAGAAACTTCTATCGTGTTTAACTGTTATTTTTGGATTTGGGAGTCCTTGGGTGGAGCAAATCGTTAAGCACTTGGGTGCTAACCAAAAAATTGGGGGTTCGAGTTCACCCAGAGGCATCTCAGAAGAAAAGCCTGGTGACCTACTTCCAAAAAATCAGCCATTGAAAACCCTATGGAGCACTGTTCTACCTGGAAACGCATGAGGTGCCATGAGTCAGAATCAACTCGATGGCAACCGGTTGGTATTTTGGATTCTCTGTCAATCCCCACTGAACCTAATCCTAATTTAGCCTAGACCTATACACACATACATAGAGATTTAGGCACAATGTTTAAGCATTTGGCTGCTAACTAAAAGGCTGGCAGTTTGAACCCACCCAGTGGCTCTGTGGGAGAAAGACACAGTAATCTGTTTCTGTAAAGATGACAGCCAAGAAAACCGTATGGGGCAGTTCTGCTCTGTTACATGGGGTCACTATGACTCAAATTGATAGTACACCAACAACAAGTCTGTGATACCACTGGCATTGTATATCAGCGGGGAAAAATAAAACAACCGGCTTGGCAGGGGGGCAAGGTAAATCTCTACATTACCACACACATAAACAAGTTACAGATGGCCCTAACTGTGACAAGCAAATTTTAGAAAGCTTTATAAGAAGATACAAAGAGAGTATCTTTATGAACTTGAGATAGGGAAGATTTTTTTTAAGAGACAAAAGGTAAAAGCATAAAGGAAATAATAGGTGAATTTGACAACATCAAAATTTTTAAACTTCTGTATGACAAAAGAACTACAAACAAAAGTAAAAGACAAGCAACAGGCCAGAGGGCAGCATTTCCTGGAGTGAGGTCTATCATGCATGAGTTTAAGTAGGTTGTGGGTGGAGGCAGGGGGGCAGGCCAAACAAGTTTGGGGAGAGCTGCATATTTCATTTTCCTCACAGATACTGACAATGCATACTAGCTTATCAAAAGCTCTGAGGACTTCTACAGAAATCCTTTTCTTGTATGGAACTCAGCATTCCCTGCATTATTTGACTGTGGGATTTTTTTGTTTGTTTGGTGTGTGTGTGTGTTAACATCTATGAACTTACCTCTGGATGTAGAAGAAACCTAGAAATGCTGCCATAAGGAATAAAGCTGCCTCATGTAGGAAACGCTTCTTGCATTCACCTTTGTGTCCCCATAGTTAACTCTGACACCTTCAGTAGTTCTGACTAGCAGCAGCATCAGAAAATGAAGGAGGAGGAGGAGGAGGAGAAAAGAAATAAAAAGAAATTTGGGGATTTGGGAATAGGAGTAAAATCTCCTAGTGGAGTGAACGTGTCCCAAGAGGAAGAAGTCAGCTGTAATCTGGGCCTTTCCTCTTCACAGCCACTGGCTGGGGCTACTAGCCGGCATGCTCAACTAGGGAAAACAGACCATTTTAAAGATAATTTAAGACAGATTCCACAGAGTTGGGATGTAGAAAATGGCAGTCAGTTGGGTTATAGGAAAAGAAAAGAGAAAACAGCAAATATCTAGGATGATCAATTCAACACTGATTGACTACTGTCTCTCTCTCTGGGCTCTGACATTAAGGCCCATTGCCACAGAGTAGATTCAGACTCATAGCGACCCTATAGGACAGAGTAGAACTGCCCCCATAGGGTTTCTAAGGCTGTAAATCTTTATCGAAGCAGACTGCTACATCTTTCTCCCGCAGAGTGGCTGGTGGCTTTGAGCCACTGACCTTTTGGTTAGCAGCCGAGTGCTTTTAACCATTGCATCACCAGGGCTCCTTGTAGTCTAGAGAGGGAGATTTTATTAATATTTCAGGTACAGTTTAAAGTCCTTTATTTATTTTATCTCATTTAATCTGTGACATAATACTATACTCATTCTCACTTTTAGGTTGAGGAAGGGAGGCACACTTAAGTAACTTACTTAAGGTTAAAAAGCCAGCAAGGGTCAAGTAGATACAAGAGACTAAATGGGCAGCTTCTGTCCAGAGGTGAGATGAGAAGGCAGAGATGGTTAGGAGCTTGTTGAATGGACATGGGGAATCAGGGGTGGAAAGGAGGAGTGTGCTGTCACAGCATGGGGAGAGCAATTAGGGTCACACAACAATGTAGGTATAAATTTTTGTATGAGACATTAACTTGAAATGTAAACTTTCATTTAAACTACAACAATAAACAAAAAAACAAAAGAAGTCCAAAAAAAAAAAAAAGCTAGCGCGGGGTGGAGACGGAGACAGGATTCCAACGTAGGCAATCAATGTCATAGATGCTGCTCCCTTAACCACTGCTCTGCCCTACTTTTCTTGTAGATAACTACAATACAGCCCACGAATCAAAGCGGTAGAGAAAGAAACAAAGTGAAAACGGTGAGTCAGGAAGGTTCAGTGGGATGTCAGTCTACCTTGCTGACAAGTTTGCCTGGGAGAGACTGGAGGGGAAATCCACTTTAGGGTGAGGTCAATGGCAGCACAGCCAGCGGAAGGGGCTGAAAGGCGTTCATCGTAAAGCCGACTGTGCCAGTCCAGATGTGGTCTTTGGACACTTCCAGCCAGCACAAATTTCTAGCAGGAGGGATATGCCAGGTTGTTTCTCAGGAAGATATTGGGGGTGTGGAGGGTGGACCGACCTAGAATGAGACCAGTGGAGAGAGGGGTAAACCTTGCCATATTCCTAAAAAGGCAGCAGAGAGAAAATCAGAGGGAAAGGAAAGAAGGGCTTTAGAGGATTTGATTCTGGATTTCCTGTGGATAGTAAGTGAGAAAAACAGAGTCCCCTGATGTCTATGGCTTGGACAGAGGTGTTAGTTTTCTGAGTTTTGTGCAAGTTTTGATTAGCAGAGAGAATGTGATAATGGCATGCATTTGAGAGCCGCGGTCCTCTCTGCACAGTGCCTGGACTCCATTAAGAAGTCGCCCCAAGCCCTTGTGGCAAAGCAGAGCGATGGTCATTTGCAATCCAGTGACTTGACCGTCGAGGCGAGCTTTTCTATTGCACGACTCGGTGTCGGACATCCTGTGCGTTCGTCGCGCAAGGAGTCCAAGGCTGGTCTCTTGCCCAGGAAGGCCGCTGGGCCGGACCTCCGGGTCCCGCCCTGGTTCCCACTCTGGCTCCTACCGGAGCATCAGGTGGGGCCCAAGACACGAGCAGACAAGGCTGAGGCGGCCTCTCTCATACTCGACCGGCCTCTTGCAGCTCGTCGACGCTCTGGGCGGTGGTCCCAGAGCATCTGCAGGCTCCGGCGGGGTGGGGGCGGCTTGGTGGGAGACCCCTCAGGGCGCACGCGGCGCCCCACTCCCCTTCCCCACCGAACGGGCTTCCTAGCACCAGGACCCACAACACCCTCACCCCGGCTCGGCCCCAGCCTACCAGGGACACGCAGCGGGCCAGAGGATCCCGGCCCCCATCACCGCCCTCCCGGCCCCCCAACTCGTGAACTACAAGTCCCAGCAGTCCCCGCAACGGGCACCTCGCGCCTCGCAGCGGAGACCCCCGGAGGTTCAAGCGGCGGGGCTCCGGCTGCGCTCGTGGCCCGGCCGGGCGGGCAGGCCGGTCCCGCGGGCGGGGGCGGGGGCGTCTCCGCGGCTTCTCCCGCCGCCGACGCCAAGGGGAGTTTCCAGGAAGTGGCCATATTGGATCCATTCAGCCGCAGCCGCCCGGGCGGAGCGCGTCCCGCAACTGGCTCGTCCCCGTCCCGGCCCCGGCGCTCGCCCCGGCCCGCCCGCTCGCTCCGTGCGGAGCTCGCCATGGCGGCCACCGACCTGGAACGCTTCTCGGTCAGGGCCTGGCTGGGCCGCGGCGCCGCGCGGGGCGCGGGCAGGGGGTCGCCCTGCAGCTGGCCGGGGGGCGCGAGCGGGCTGTCAGTGCCGCGCGGCCGGGCCTCGACGCCTGGCCAGCTCCGAGATACCCGGAGCGCACTCTCGGCCGCGCTGACCCGAGGTCCCGGGGAATCGGGTGGCGGCGCCTTGCCAGGTGGCTGGCCCGGGTCGCCCCCCTCGGGTGCAGGCGAGGCAGGCCCCCTTTCGCCGAGAGGAGGAGAGACTTGTCTGGATCCGGACAGGTGCGAGGACAGACTCGGGCCCCGGGGCCGGAGAGGAAGGCCCGGAGTACTCCGGACCCCCATCCCCCAGGGCATTTCTTTTGCACAGCTGCGGAGATTCCTAGCCGCGCAGGTGCTGTTGTATGGCTACAACCGGTGAGGATGAAGCCCGGGGGGCTTGAGGAAGCCCCTCCAAATGAGGTCAGGGCATTTGCAAACTTGGGTCCTGAGGCCCCTGGGCCTGCCTTTCGTTCCCCCCTTGTCCCCGGGCCCGGATCCTGTGTGCGACTCCAGGCACGTCCGGCCTCAGTGGTCGGGTCTGCGGCATCCATTCCCCAGGAACTGGAGCGATTCCAGACCCAACCTCGTGGGCGTTTGCTTGGGCTCCAGTCGGGGGTCTGCCTTCTGCAGGGCTGACGTCCCCTGGTGGCCCCTGCAGGGGTCTCTCTGGGCCTAAGCCGACCAATAGTCAAACTTCCTACAGGTTTTTATAATTCACCCGGGAGGAGGGAGACCTTTTGGGGGTTGGGTCTGCACGTCCCCTGGTGTCTGGGGCTGGATCTGGGTGTGTCTGGGAGGCTGGGCTGTGACAGTAAAGGAAGCTGTGTCCTCTTGCCAGCATGTGAGGCCCTGGCCTGCGGGGAGGGGGAGGGAGGACTCAGGCCGCTGAGGGGAGAAAGGGGATAATGCTGAATATGAAACCTATAACGAATTTGTTCTGGGGCTAAATAAGGGAGCCAGGAGTTATGTAATTAATGCTATAAATACTGTCATCTGAATTTATGTATGTAAATTTTCTGTTTAATCTGAAAATACATTTCCTAGTCTACTTTGGAAATACGCATAATTAAAGCAGGAGCTTTTGGCTTCAGTTTCTAGGCTGGGGTGTTTTATTTCTGTTGGGGAGGAGGACTGTGTGTCAGTTAAGTAAGTTTACATGAGGAACAGATTCAGAGGTTGGTCAAATCAGAGATTCACCTCACCCCTGCTCTGTAAATTGGAATTTATGTACTGAGGAGGGCAGCATCTGAATCCTAACAGACTTTCTGATTACCTGGTGACCAAGAGACCTGGGAGTGCCTGCATGCCTGTGTGCGTGTGGGTGTCCGTGAACGAGGTACATTTTCTGTGTCCAGTTGACTAGAAACTTATGTCTGGGTCTTGTCTGTGGCCAAAGGACACTCTAACAGATGGTCTTGCAGGTGGGAGCAGTACACAGAGTAACCAGAACCAGACCACCTGATATGAATCCTAGACTGCTACTTATTGGCCATGTAACCTTGGGCAAGTTATTTAACCCCTCAGTTTTCTCATCTGTAGAATGGGATAAAAATATCACCTCCCTGACTGGCTTATTGTGAGGATCCAATGAGATAATGCCAGGGAGGTGTTCAGAGCAGTGCCTGCACATGGCAAGGACACAGTAAATAGCACATAGTACCTGGTATCAATGGTAGATGTGGAGACTGACCCTCTGTGTAAGTGGGCAGCAGAGAGTCAATGCCCTCCCCAGGGGCTTCCATCACTGCATGTCCAGCAATTGCCGTCAGAGCCTAGAGGCCCGGCTGCACTGCCAGGCTGTAGACTGGGGGGTGCCTTCCCCTCCACTTCCCATGTTTGTTCTTAGATCATTTCTGTGAGGACTTTGGTTGTTGTCCCCATGGTGAGCTGAGGCACAGAGTGGGGACAGACTCAGGAAAGGTGTAGAGCTTGAGCTCAGGGGCCTTGGTTACTGTGCCAGGTTCAGCTGGATGGATGGACGCCTTCCATGCTCTGGGCTGTCAGCCTCTTCGGCGGACTTGGACAGGGTTAGATTTGGGTGGAGACCTTGGGTGGAGTTTGGCCTGAATTTAGAAGTCTGGACTCCATTCTCCCCTCCTGGCTTGTCATCATGGGAAAAATCATCTCTTCCTGTCTTGCCCTTAGTTTATCTGTCTTTGATATAAAATGGGTCCAGTCATACCGATATTCTTCAAAGGGCTTGTGGAAGGTTAATTATCATCTAAGGCATGTTTGGAGATATGCCTCTGTGTCTCGCCAGCCCCAGGGAACACTGGGTCCCTCACTGACTTTGATGTGAAGTAGTGGCTGTGAAGCTATGGGCTGATGGGACTGAGGCAGGTCTATACTGCCTGCCCCCCATCCCCTAGCTCAGACGAGCCCTGGAGGCCTGGGATCGGTCCTGACCTGGAGCTTAGGTGTCCATGCAGAGTTGTCCTCTGTACTTTGAGATTAGTGTGTACTGGTTTCCCGTTTCTCTTTCACAAACCCTTCGTGTGGACCCAAGCGCACCACCAACTGGTCCCTTTCTCTTGTCCATATAGCACGGCGTAAGCACCACTGGCCCAGCAGTCTTTACATCCTGGTTGGGCCCTGCTCAACCCTAAATCAGCCATGGGGTCAGGGTCAATGTCTGTTCGTGCATGTCTGGGACAACCCTCTGGGGACTTGCTGTTGTCTCTTGCTCTCCTTGGACAGCTAGACTCCTGTCCACTTTGCTTTGCCCTCCTTCTTACTGGGTCCCTGACTCAGGGCTCACTCCTTCTTATCCTCAAGGGCCATCTTTTTTGTGTCTCCTATCAGTATCTCATGGGGCAGGCTTTGTTTAGGGCCTAGGGGAAGGGGATATGAGGGGGAGAAGGAAGAAGCATGCAGCACGGCAGCCTCACGCCTAGCATTTTTCCCAGCCAGACACTACCCCCCAATCTCCGCTTATCCCCAGCACCATCTGTCATTTCCGTTGTCACCCCTGTAATCTTGACACTTCCCCAAGAAGCAGGCTATCCAGGGACTGCCTATTCTCTCTGAAGCAAGAGCTAGTGGGGAGGGATGTAGGAGGCAGCTCCCTGACCCATGTGGGGTCAGGACTCTGCCACAGTGTGAGACCTCCCTGTCCTGTAAAAATGGCCAGTAATCTCCTTGTTGAGCTGTTTGCAGAAGTGAGAGCTGAGCAAGAGACATCTGTGCAGCTCTCAGTGCCTGGTGGTATCGAGGGGTGATAAGTGGGCACCACCTACGAAGCCACAGCCCTGCCCCCTTCCCCTGGGAGGTGGGTCTGCCCTGCCCTACCACCCTCCTGGCACTGTGCCATGCTCACTTTAGGAAGGTCTGCCTGGGACTTTGATTGGAATGGACCCGTGAGGAGGCTGGTGGGAATGCCTTGGGGATCCAAGGGAGCACATGATAAGGGACTGATCAGGGTGGGAACAGAGGAGGTGGCAAGGAGGAGACTGATCCTAGCACCAGTGAGAAGGGAGAGTGGATGGAGGCAGGCATGCTGGGAGCTGACTTTTGTCACAGGCTTTGGATGATAGGGAGTATGCTAGATGCTTTGTGCCCACTGTCTTGTTGATGCCAACAGAATGCGGTTGGGCAAGGGTGCAGACTCTGGTCATTAGCTAGAGACTCAAACCCCAGCACCAGAGCACTCCTTGGGGTGGCAGAGGGGGTGGGGGCTCCTGAGCTTTGAGCTTTACAATGGGCTAGGTATAGGCGTGTGTTTGGGGCAGTAACTACATACCACAAATATCTCTGTGGCTTGGGTCCAGCCACTGGAGGCAAGCAGCTGCAGGATGACAGAGCACAGGCCTTGAGGGTGGCGTGCCTCTCTATGCCCCCTGCAGCCTCTCCTTCCTACCTCTATGCTGCCAGCTTGGGGCTCAGGAGCCCCAGGCATGGCCCACAGGCCCAGGCTCTGCCAGACAACCAGATGTGGAGCTGTGTTGGCAGGAGGGAGACACATCTGCCTGGGGGAGGGCTGCCTCCCCAGCTTGGCATGCCCTTGTGGTAGAGCCAGGGTGCTTCTTGCTGGCTTCCTCAGGAGCCGTCTGCATCTTCAGGGCTCATATGAGTAATGTGTCTGGGAAGGCGCAGCAGAGGTTGGGGCGAGGGGCAACTTGGCTATAGTTACAGCTGCCCTGGAGCTCTTGAGGTAAATTAGATACTGTCCTCAGAACATGTGGCTTCCAGGTGGTTCTTGGCCCCTATCATGGAGGCCACGTTGGAGGGACAGAAGCAAGAGAGAAGGGAGTAAGGGCTCATTTCTGATTGCAGCTGTCTGGCTGTTCTCTGAGATGCTTCCTGGGCTTGGGCCGCGTGGGGCCTGGGTTCAGAGGGGCGGTAGGCATGGACCCAAGTCTCACTAGCCCCAGCTGTGAGGCCATGGGTGCGAGCTGACACTGCTTAGTGAACAGGATGAGTGACAGAAAAGTATAGCAGCCCTGCCCCGAGCTGCCACCGGTTGGTGCATTTTTTTGCCCCTTTCTAGTCCATCCTGAGGTTGGAGGGAAGGTATGGATAGAGGGCACCTTTGCTGCTCACATTCCCCTTTCTGTGTGTGGAATGAAGGCTGCCTTCTTCCTCCAGAGAAGCCTAGACCACTCTGGCTTTCTCTGCTGCAAGGCTGTAGTGGCTGCTGCCAGAGTCCCTGAACCAGGTGAGGAAATATGAACACCTGAGTTTCTAGTACCTTCAAGGCCCAGATCACCTTCCCCATCTGCTCTCCTGTGGGCTAGACTACTCCCTTGCAGGTGCACAATAGAGCCCAAGAATGTGTCTTTGTCCTAGGCCTTGGGAGACGGGCTCAGAGACCAGCAACTGTGCTCATTGTTGTTAGGTGCTATCATGTCAGTTCCAACTCACAGCGACCCTGTGCACAACAGAACGAAACACAGCCCGGTCCTGCGCCATCCTCACAATCATTGCTAGGTTGGAGCCCATTGTTGCAGCCACTGTGTC